AGTTACAGTGATCACGGCAGTTCACTTTTTGTGAACAGACATCCGGGAGATAGCTCACCATTTATTTACTAATAAATATTTTTAAATAAAAAAATTACCTTATAATCTATAAACTGCAATCTTTGAAACACCAACACCTTTTTTGAAAAAGGTCTCATAGTTTTCGAGAAAAAAATTCCCAAAGAACACTCCTTTTTCCGCCTCCTGACTGAGCATGACCCCTTAAATCCGTTACAAGTACCAAGTGAATTGCCTTGGTAACGAAGCAAACAAAAACGACTACATAACCCTATAATTTCTATCTCTTTCATCATTTCTTCTCTTTTATGAAGAATAACCCAAAACCCACAATAATCAACTCCAATATTAAAAAATGGTCGGGCTTGCGAAACTCGTGTTTTGGGTAAATTGCCCATTAAATACGTCAGTACCTTAGGATTTGCTTTATAACAACGCATGCATTTATGAATAATTCTTCTAATACTATTTCTTACATCTATCGGTCAATAATTTTGATGCACCGCATATAAAGTTGCTTGAATCCCGGAATGCCAATAACGCTCATGTTTAAAGTGAACACAATCATTAAGAATTCTCCAATCAATAGTCAGAGACATTAACTCTCGCATGACAGACCATGAAAGCCAATGGCCGGGTAACCCGTGACCCATGCCACATACAATATACCTATACTGTAAGAGTTTCATACCCATTTAAAAGAATTTGTAGAAAATAACAAAAATATTGTTCAACTTGTATAAAAATTGATTTCTGTTTATTCGTTAGATATATTCTCTATCCTCAAAACATCGCTGCATATTGAACGGGTGACTCAGCTATCTCCATGCAAGAGTTAACCTGTAAAAAAAATTAAGCAGGTTTCCAAGGCTTGTAAAAATTTCACACGTAAATATTATATAATTTATAAAATCAACAAATAAGAAAAATACCATTGTAGAAACTGCGCAACAGAAGTCTACAATTTACAACTTGCAACTTGTTAATTCCCTAACAATGTTAGTTGGTAAATTATTGCCCAAGACGTCCCAGATAACACATTGGTAAATTTGCTTTCAGTCCGGCGCGGTTTAACCCACGGAATAAAATTGTGCCTTCGCGCGGCACCCGGGGCCAAAGAGCGCGAAATCGAAACAACGGAATGGTAACACGAAAATGCGTGCTGTCAGCGGCAGCACGGTACGAAAGCCTGTACACATTTTCATTCTCGCGAGTCGGCCACGATTCACAGACAGTTAAGTCTTGTACGCTAACCTGGTTGCGGGTATACGCGGAAACAAAGAAAATGGCGCAAAGGGGTGCGGGAAAGGAGAAAGGGTTTGAAAAAATAAAGGGAGAGATAGGCAACACGGCCGCGCTCATGTACGGACGAGGCGTGCTATTTCGTTTTATTAATTAAAGGGCGCCACACGGTTGCATCTCGACGGTGAACACACAAGGCCATTTGTTACGTCCGTTAATTTCTAAAATGTCCGCGGCAGCGGCGAATGTAAAACGGAATATCGCGACCGAAACGAAATTCGAGCCGTTTTGCGCGACCGAATAAAGTTGTCCACCCAGTAATTGTAATGCAAGCTGCAAAATCGCGTAATCTCTCTGTCGATCCGTTATCCGGTATGAAAATTTACATTCCAGCCGCATCTATGAAATTAGATGCGTCCAATCGAATACGGGAATCAACCCTCCTCACCCCGACCCCAACCGCCCCAGCGCGGCGGTACCTCGTTACTCGCACCCTATCGATCTTTAACTACGTGACAATTATTTGCCGCGGGTCCCCGTGTACGTTCAATGACGAACGGAATTTATTTTGGTCGGGAGAGTTCAATTAACCCGAGCGCGCGCAACGATATGTCTTTCGAATTATATTTATTGTAGACATCAATGGTAGATAAGGTAATGTTTATTTTTATTGGTTTTTAATGGTGGCCAGGGAAATTTTATTTGCGGAACGTGTATGAAATTTCACCGAAAATAATTATTTTTGGTTTATGGTAATATCATTTGAAAATGTACTGAATATTAAACCGAACAGAAATTTCAAACAACATATTTCTATTAGTTATCATTTAAGACTTTGACTGTCTCGTCACTCACATATGGGTGATTGATTTATTAATTTGCAGCTAAACATTCATTTTTACGGTAATATGTTAAAGGAAATAAATTTTCATAGGTTTTAACCCTATAGGATAGTTTGACAGTCAAAGTGTTAAATACTGGCCTAAAAAGTATTATGAATTAAGAGTAATGTAGTATTAAAATCAATTGTCGCAAAATTGAAAGGCGATAATTATTTTATTATGTATTTTCAATTCATTATTGCATATAATACCACCATTTTCCTCACCTGTGTAATTACTAGAATGAACAATTTTTATTAGTAATGTCTTTTGTATTGGATACAATCATTTTTCCAAAATGAGAAACATTTTAAATGCAATGCCCATTCCATTATTGTTCACTTCAACTACTGATACAGGAACAATGAAATTAGTAATACTTTTTAATAGCTTAGTCGAATTAAATAGTATTAATTATATATTTAAATAGTATTAATTATATATTTAATAGCGAAGTCAAGTTTTCATGAAGCCAATTATAAATGAAATTATAGTCGTGTTACAATGAAATTAGTAATACTTTTTAATAGCTTAAAGTCAAGTTTTCATGAAACCAATTATAAATGAAGTTATAGTCGTGTTACTAATCCTGATTGTTGAGTAAACGTAATGAAAAATCCAAGACTGATTAACAAAACTACTTCTTTAAACACCTTTAAGCATTCAAGGAAACTATTTTTCATGCTATTATAGACAAAAAGTTTAAAGTGGCTTCATACATTCTGCATCAAAATTTTGCATAATAATATGTATAATATGTATAACAAACAGTATCATACATGTTGATATGTGAAAATTGAAATAAGTATTTAGTAATTTTATTTATTTTATTTATTGCACGCATTCTTTCTTTGAACATGTTCTACAATTAATCTATAAAACAATAACGGATAATGCTGTACACTTTAAGCATGTTTTGAAAATTGAAGCAAATATATGAATTATAATTTTATTTAAATAATTTAACTTTATAAGTTAAATTATTATATAGATTAAATATATATTAAATTTGTATTACATACATCTTTATATATTCATACTTAAATATACATATATCCTTATACAGGCTGTCTCGCATCATTGTCGCCAAGATATTTCAAGACTTTGTTTCAACTTCATAAAACATTGTATTAAACAAGAGTTGAACTATACATATTTAAGTGAGCATAACATTTGTAAATCAGAGTTTCTTTATCTGCATTTTTTTTTTTGGATAAATGGATGTTACCCTTTGTCTTTTAAATGGTACTGTAACAGTTTTTACATATTTTTCATCAGAACGAATAGTAACAAATCCGATAACTATATAAATATGATACAAAAAAATATAAATAACGTAGAAAAGTTGTGAGATATCAAGGCGTTCTCTTCAGAAACAATCGAAGACTCAAAGGTACAAGTAGACCGCAACGTTGTATAAGTTCTGTTAACTTTTAATACATTATTTGTGTCTTTCTTGTAACATACTTATAGTTGTTGGAGTTCTTATAACTTGTACTAATAAAAAATATTTAAAAAATGCTGTAGTTTTATTTAAACAAACAAAAGGTACCATTTATATCCCCCGAACAAATGTAGATAAACAAACTGTGATTTTCGAAACTTATGCACGCTTAAATATAGTTCAACTTTTGTTTGAAACAATTTTTTGGAAAGTTCAAGGAATCTCCTGAAATTTCGTGGCGACACTTACGTGGGACATCCTGCATACAGGGTATTAATACAAATGTGGGACACCTTCACAGAGTGGATTCTACATGCTAAACTCAGACGACAATCAAGAATGACGAAATTGGTTTCGAGTCTTCGCTTTAACAATTACTAATATCTAGGGACCAGGAATGACTAAATTGCGTTCGAGGCTTCGTTGTAACCATTAATTTCTCGGAAACATACGTTTCGGATATCGGCATCATCGGAAAATACAATTAGTTTTGCATGTAGAATACAGCCTGTCGCGTGGCGAAATAGCAACTACACATAGTATATCACTTCGACCACCTAAATTGTTTTATTACCGTCAGACCCTACAAGCCGTGATTTCTGAACAGCTGTAAACTGTATGCTCACGTGTCGTTATATAATAGAAGTCTTTTACAAACTCATTTTTGACGACAGTTGATTCCAGGAATCCAGGTTCAATGCATAAAGACAAGGAAGATGTTTTGGTCATTTACCGTCTCGCTTGGATGTGACCCACCTCCAACACCTAGTCGACCAATTCCGCTTAAGAGAGAAATCGACAATTTTTAGACAATAGCAATGATTCTTCCTTCTTTGTAGTTTGTCTCGCCATCGCATCCAGCTAGAATCTCGAGTCGAAAGTCAACCATCGATCAGTCAACTTCTCTGTACATTACATATTTAAATCACGTCACCACCATTAGTCTTCGTTATTTAATTTCTTGTTTTAATACATTATTATTTGATGATTCACCAAGTATTTGTTCCCTTCGTCTTAAATAGTCACATGAAGATTAATTTTGTGTGTCAACTCAAAAAGTACCAAAACAGTCGTACTAAAAACTTTGCGACTAGGGACTGTAAATTTACCAACTTTTTCAAATATCGGTAATTCGATAAAATTTCCAATCAAAACCGATATACCGGTAATTTACTGGTATTTTTTAAGGTATTGAAAATATAAGAGTAAGTATTATAAAAGGAACATATTATTGAAATCCAATCGAGCATCTATTCATTCCACTTTTTATAGGTTGACATTTTGTAATGTAAATACCATACAACTATGTCAAAAACCATGACAATCGATTCGAAAAAGAATTCAATTTCAAATGTTCCAAAAGTAACGAAAATCGAATATTTAAAAAAAAAGGAAACCTAATCATTCTTTTTCAGGCAGTCGTCAGGGAACTAAACAGACTGGGGATGCTAGTGGATCTCTCTCATGTCTCGACAAGGACTATGAGGGCGGCTCTGCAGACGACGAGGGCACCGGTCATTTTCTCTCACAGTGCTGCCAGGGCACTCTGCAATTCCACTAGAAACGTGCCAGACGACGTGCTTAAAAATCTGGTGAGTTTCTTCCACACAACTACACCGACAGAGAGAAATCAAGAATATGAAAATCGGTTCGGAAGCGTGAAAAGGTTGAACCAATTTTGACATTCGTTCGCAGGAACGTTAGGTACTTTCGCTTTCACGAATTCGTGTCATATTCATGCCTGCTTTCTCATTCGTCTAGCTTTTGATAGCATTTCAGAACGGAATACTGATAACAACTACTTTCTTTCCTTTATATATGGTTATAAGTAAACATTTTTGGACATAGCCGGTTTTGCCAAAACATTTCTGAGGTTCAATTAAAACAGTAATTTTATGGAGAGCTGTGTGACGTTCGAAATGAACTGAACAATTTCATTAAATACCCGTCAAGATTTTGTTGTTTGTGTAGCTTTTAGAAATCAAGTACACTCGCGAGCAAACTCGACTTTCACTAGGGGAAAAAGTAATGTTAGGAAAGGGCCTTCTACCATGCTTGTACCACTTGGTATTTGGAATTACTGAAATTTATGCCAAATTAACATTCGATTTAACATTTATTTTAGTAACTGGAATAAATTTACTAAGTGGTAGAAGGCCCTTCTCTTACGTCACTTTTTCCCCTAGTGGAAGCCGAGTTTTGCTCGTCAGTGTACATACGTAATAAATGTATGAAATCTTAGGTTAATCATTAACGTCGAGAATTATTGGTAAAAAATGTTTTTGAAAGTCAGTCTTATGCAATTGATGCGACATTAAATCCATATTAAAGAAACTGCACGTCAGTCTTCTCGAGTCAATCGAGAATTTAACGAGTGTCTGGACTATTGTTCCGCCATTACAGATGTACGAAACGTATTCGTGAGTAAGATAGCTGTCCCTTTGTTTTGTCCAACTATACGTATCGCCGGGAGAGTATTCCTGAGCCAATGGTATACACGTCGATTTTCCTCCTTTCATTTCATTCTTCTCTCCTTTTTCCCTCGTTTCGCGACATGTCCTTCGGCTTTTTCCTTTGCTCATCTGAGCTCGATTCCATCGCTGAGCACGAAGCTTCTCGTGACATTGTTACTTTTTTGCGCGCTTTGTTACATACAGTGGCCTCTTTAGCTTGTTCTTTTACGTGAGCTTAGTTCATTTGCTAATTGAGATACCGCTGTTGCTCCTTTTGACCGTGCTGTTTCTGTGCTTACATTTGCGGCAAGGTCTGCCGAAACTTCGCCTACGTACAGTGAGAGTCAAAACTAAATATACACTTTACAAATGTGAGGTTCGTATAATACTTCTGTAGCATCTTACTATCGTAAGATCATGGTAGTAATGCAGTTGGATATGATTTCCTTAACATTTTTGGGATTAATAGACAGCCGAAAAGTTCGAGGAAAATTTTCAAAAAATCGATTTTTCACTTTCTACATTTTCTTTAAATACAACATCTCGAGAATATTCTGTGCAAGTTTCAAGGTAATCCAATTAAAAATGACAGAGTTACAGGCGTTAAAAAATGAACATTTTATATAAGTGTAAGCTTGTGCTTACATTTGCGACAAGGTCTGCCGAAACTTCGCCTACGTACAGTGAGAGTCAAAACTAAATATACACTTTACAAATGTGAGGTTCGTATAATACTTCTGTAGCATCTTACTATCGTAAGATCATGGTAGTAATGCAGTTGGATATGATTTCCCTAACATTTTCGGGATTAATAAACAACTGAAAAGTTCGAGGTAAAGGAATTCACAATTATAACTATAAAATTTTGTAAATATCGTTAAACATTGTGAAGGTACTATTATGGTTTGGGGCACGTGGCAACCCATGGATGTAGGACAGTTGGTTTTTATTCATAGTACAATGGACAAATTTAGATATTTAAATATTTTAAAATCAAATTCAGCTGCAAGTGCATTCATACTAGTATGTATTTTGGGTCACGATCTTACTCAAAGACTTATATATACAGTGAGTGTAAAAAGTATTCGTACACCATTTAAAACGGAACAACTCTTTTAAAATTGGTCCAAATGAGTTGAGTTCTTTCGTGAAGTTAGGGAGATTAGTTTACTAAATGATGTGTAGTAAAAAAAGTTGTGTACATACTGAAACTTTCATTGAAATCGGTTAATACAGAAACGAGCGACAGACATTAAAAGATATGAGAATTGTTAGATTTACTACAGTTGTAGATCGAAAGTCGGGAAAAACTGCGATTTTCAACATTTTTAATCGTTTGTATCTCGTAGCGCAACGTTAACCGATTTTGATGAAATTTTCAACATGTAATATAACTAACATAAATCTTCGATATGTATTTATTAAATTTTCATTATAGCCTCAGATTAAAAAGTTGTAAAACACGACCTTTAATATTTTCTTCGCGATTCGGACCAATTGCAACTTTTTCAAATTTTTTTTTTCACATCATTTAGTAAATTAATATCTCTTACTTCACAAAAAACTCAAGTCATTTGGACCAATTTTAAAAGAGTTGTTCCGTTTTAAAGGGTGTACGAATACTTTTTACACCCACTGTATATGTATAACTCGATATATGCTCGAACTGATGCCCCCCGATTTCAATACAGTGATTATTTCGTTAATATCTCCTTAACTATTAGATTTAGGGCGTATGAAGGTCTGCACATTTTTACTTAGAATTTGATACTCTATCGATCTATGGTACAAAACATAGGTCATTCCATTAAAAAAATATCAAAGTGACCTTGAAATCTCTGAAATGTCAGCCACAACAAAAGCACGTACCTTGTAAAATGTGCCCCTTGATGCTAATTAAGTTCTACGCCTCAAAAGTTGCATAAAGTATACCGTTAAGTCATTATTCGAGATGATCACGTTAGCTGAGACACCCTGTATATTCGCGAGCAATGTCACATACATGTTAAGCTGCGTTTACACTACATAACATAACACGTTATATAGCAAAGTTGTAAGACTTGTTAGAAAAACAGAAAGCAAAATGTTATACATATAACGGGTATGTTATATAATGTAGACGCAGCTTAACATGTACGTGACGTTGCTAGCGAACATATGTTAAATTGTAGCGTATATTTCAAGTTCACATTTAAGAAATAATAACACCATAGAATGTTAAAGCAGACAGAGAAGGTTCGCCGTACAATTCTAAAAAGAAATTCATTTTTTTCTTTTCCGATCGCCCAGTCAATTTTGTATTTTCGCAGGGGGGGAGGGAAAAAACAAAAGAACGACTCGTCACATTTATGTTCTCTGCGTGTTTTCAAATCCTGCAACGATGTTGGCCCGGACCAACCATGAACTTTCCGAAACATCCGACCTGGTTCTGGTCGCGTGTTTGCTGATCTAAAACCGAATAATCTCTTCGTTGGCCAACGGATACGAGTAGTTGGGTGAAAAGGGTGGGTCGACCAAAAACTTTAACGTGTGCCGTTTTACATTCTCCGCATCGCCCCCCACCCCCCTCCCCGTGCTCGGGGTCATTCGAAGCTTGGATGCTGCACGCATCACACTACAACGGTTTCTACTTATGGCGTCAATTCTGGGGAACGGCCGAGCTCATTTCATCCACCGGATTAACCGTGCAGCCACACAATTGTGAATGTCTCGTTCTTTAGAATTTCAGATTTATTTACAGAACGAAATGAAACGACGGATTAACAACGTTCGTTACTTCAATTAACCGTTATTATACACTGACATTCATAAGTATTAGGACAACTTGTCGAATGTGCAATAAATGTTATAGGGTGTTACGAAACTGCTGAAAATCTGAAAGAAATATTGGTTACAAAATATTAATCTACCGACAATTTATATACACCCAATTCGTGTAAAAATAGAATTGGGTGTATACCTATTTCTATCGAACCGATCAAATGAGCTTACGTTACTTACGTTTCCCAGAAAAAACGGAATAAGAAGAGAGATAGATATTGAAAAAATGATTCTATGTGTATTATAGGAATTGGAATAGTCGTAAAGTCAAGTGACGAAAGAAATAAGAATGAATGAAGAATTATTAATTAAAAGTTTAAAAACCGCCACTTGACCGGATGTGGTAGCTGTAGTGTGTTAAAGCTCGATGGTTAACGCGTATGCTACTATGGAATAATAAACGTATCTGGAAATAGACAATTCTTACAAGACATCACAGTTTCTATACACATACATATAGGCTAAGTGTCCTAGCACTTCTGAGCAGTAGTAGGGTTCTCGATTTTTTTAGATAGTATTGATTTCTCAGATCGATTCGAATCGGAAGATGAAAAATCGCCTTCTAAAGAATCGATCTTCAAGAAATCGATTCAAATTTTAAGTGTATATTAGGAGTACATTAAAATAATGTTCGGTAAATAACATGCAAATGGTAATTTTGTTTATTTTTAATAAAATAAAACTATTAAATGAAATAAAACAAAAGAACAAATAAATTAAATAAGTGAAGGTTACTCATTCCCAAATTCCCAATCTTTGAATTGTAAACATTTCGAAGAAATTAATTTATTCCGTCCATCAAGATGGAGTTTGTTCCTTTCGTCGGTGAGAATATTCCCCGTTATTGAAGACGCCTTTTCACTAGGAACAGATGTCCCCTTAACGCACAAATATTTATTGGCTGTAACACTAAAGATGTCTTATGCGTGTTCGTCCTCGCTGTTGTACGTATTGGACCTGCCTTACGAATAGGTTCCCACTTACAGAATTGCAGGACGCCATTATGGAGGAAAATAAAATTTTTGTTCGAAAAGAAACTACAAAACAGTACCTATTTTTGATGCTCTCAATATTTATGCGTTTGATCTTTATCTGTATGCGTTATATCTTAGTTCATTTAGAAAATATCTTTAGCATTAAAAAAATTCCTTTCGGTACAGAGGTTACTAGAAAACATTGATATTTCAATGTACAAATTTTCGGATAATAAGACACTGTTTTACGTTATTTTTTGTATAGTTCAAACCAAATAATAGTAATAAGAAATTAAGAAATGCGAAGCATCTATAGAATTAGCTTTTAAGGTATCTTCTAATTTA